AGATCATGAGGAAGACGGCTGGCTTTCAATGGACTCCAGAATGCCAGGGGGCTTTCGACGAGCTCAAACGATATCTATCTTCACCCCCTGTGCTCTCCAAACCAAAGGTAGGGGAGACCCTCTATCTCTACCTAGGGGTCAGCCCGACAGCCATCAACTCCGTTCTCATCCGGGAGGAAGACGACATCCAACATGCCATCTTCTATGTAAGCAAGACCCTAAGGGAGGCCGAGCTCAGGTACTCTCCTGTGGAAAAAACGATGTTAGCCATCGTTTGGACCGTCAAGAAGTTGGGTCACTACTTTCAGGCTCACCCGGTTCATGTCCTCACTCATCAACCCCTCGGCGCCCTCATGAGGAGCCCCACCAGTTCCTCCCGCATGGTGAAGTGGGCTATCTTCCTGAGCCAGTACAACATTGACATCCGTCCGAGGCCTGCCATCAAGGGCCAAGCCCTGGCGGACTTTGTGACGGAGTGTACCGCAAGGGCGGCCACGGATGGGGAGCCCTCGGCTACCTCGGACGACTGGTGGACCCTCTACACCGACGGCTCCTCCGCAACCAAAGCATGCGGGGGGAGGGGTAGTCCTCATTACTCCCGAGGGCTTCAAAGCCTACTATGCAATCCGCTTCTCCTTCAAAGTCTCCAACAACGAGGCCGAGTATGAGGCCCTCCTATGTGGCCTTCGGCTGGCTGCCAACATGAAGGCTCGGCAGATCCATATCAAATGCGACTCCAAGTTGGTCGTTGGCCAAATCTCCGAGGAGTATGAGGCCAAGGAGGGAAGAATGAAACAGTACAAGGAGGCGGCTAAGGAGTTGCTTAAGGTATTTGAGGCACACTCTCTCACTCAAATACCGAGGGCTCAGAATTCCGAGGCCGACATACTATCTAAGCTCTCGGCCGACTCCCCCGAGCACATCTCTAAGATTGCTAAAATTGAGGAACTCAGTCTCTCGAGTATCCATGCAAGCCCCGTCATGAACATACAACAACGCCTAGAGGACTGGATCTCGGATATCATCACCTTCATCTCCACAGGGCAGCTACCCGAAAATGAGACCCGCGCTAAACTAGCAAAGCTGAGGGCTCCTAGCTACACCATCGAAGACGGAAGGCTATACAAACGGTCTTACAACGGCACACTACTTTGGTGCCTTCATCAAGATGAAGCCGAGGTCGCAATGGAGGAGGTGCACAGTGGCACTTGCTCAGCTCACTAGGGACCCTTCTCCATGTCCCGAAGGCTCATTCTCCAGGGCAACTTCTGGCCGACCATGGCCAGGGATTGTGCTGACCTTGCCCGAAGGTGCACCGCATGCCAACATTTCCAGAAAGCCCCCGACAGGCCAGCGGTCAACTATGCCCCCATCAGCACATCCGTCCCCTTTTCTCGATGGAGGATAGACCTTGTGGGCCCTCTGCCGAGGGGTACCTCCAACAACAGGTACATCATTGTGGCCATCGACTACTTTACCAAGTGGGTGGAGGCTGAGCCCCTCGCCAGTATCACAGAGGTGAAGTGCCGTCACTTCGTCCTCAAGAACATTCTGACAAGGTTTGGCGTCCCCCAACAGATCATCTCCGACAACGGAACACAATTTGAGGCAGCCCCCTTCTGTGCCCTTCTGGAGGCATGGGGCATCAAACACACCTTCTCCTCCGTTGCCTACCCTCAAGGCAACGGGCAAGTAGAGAACGCCAACCGGACCTTGCTCGAGAGCCTCAAAAAGAAGCTGGAGGCCGAGGGCGGTGGCTGGGTAGAAGAACTCCACAACATCCTTTGGGCCTACCGCACCACCCCTCGGAGGGCAACAAGCGAAACACCGTTCTCTCTCTGTTACGGGTTTGAAGCCAAAGCTCCTACGGAAGTCACCCTTCCCACCCGGAGGGTGATCCAGTATGACCCCGAGGTCAACGACAGCAACATGGCCCTCGACCTCCACCTTCTTTCAGAACGCCGGGAGCAAGCATTCATCCGGGCAGAAAACTACTGAAGGCAAGTCAAAGGCTACATCGACGCCAAGGTTCGCACCCGAGAATTCCAAGTGGGGGACTATGTCCTCCGGAGGAGGGAAGCCAGCCAACCGACCGAGGGAGGCAAAATGGCACCAAAATTCAAAGGTCCCTACATCATAGCAGCCATCATCAAACCCGGGACTTACAAGCTCAAACGCCCCAACGGAAAAGAGGTCCCTAGGCACTGGAATGTACACCACTTAGTTAAATTTTATCAATAATGTAAGAGCAGCCAAGCCCTCCTAACTAGTGAATGTACTATCCTATGGCCCAAGGCCTCCAATTTTGAAGAATGAAGACACATTCAAGACACCAAGAACAACTGCAAAACACTTATGAGCGGCCAAGCCCTCATACCAACTACAGGCCCCAGGCCTCACCACGAGAAGAACCCCCTCCGGCACCAAGTGCCGAGGGCGGACACCATCAACACCTTCAACAATGGTGAAAGCACCAAGTGTTTCATTTCAAGACCCTTCGGCACCCAGTGCCGGGGGTACAAAACTCCACCATCAACATAAAAAAGAAGAACACCAAGTGTTCCTTCAGAAGACCCTTCGGTACCAAGTACCGGCGGTACGCATCCTCACCATCAACATCAAAAAGAAGAACACCAAGTGTTCCTTCAGAAGACCCCTCGGTACCAAGTACCGGGGGTACGCATCTCCACCATCAACATCAAAAAGAAGAACACCAAGTGTTCCTACAGAAGGCCCCTCGGTACCAAGTACCGGGGGTACACATCTCACCCATCAACGTCAAGTAGAAGAACACTAAGTGTTCCTACAGAAGACCCCTCGGTACCAAGTACCGGGGGATACATATCGAAACTAACACCAAGTGTTGTTTCTAAAAGCCGTACCCCACGAGGACGCATATACCGAAGGCACGTAGTGCCCCCGGCCATTTGCAACTAGTGTGCAAATGAAAACCCTTCCTTGAAACGCTTTCCGCGTCACTACCCCCAGGGTATGACAGGCATGAGAAATGCCCAGGATTCGACTTTCAAAAACGGAACGCTTTCCGCGTCATCACCCCAAGGGTATGACAGGCACGAGAAATGCCCAGGATTCGACTTCCAAACCGAAACGCTCCCCGCGCTACCACCCCAAGGGTGTGGCAGTCCACGGACTATGTCTAGCACCGAGGGGACGACTTTCAAAAATGAGGCGCTTTCCGCGCCATCCCCAAGGGGAGGCAGGTTACAGACCACCATATCTTGTGCCCAGGAAACGACCCTCGATCCTCTCGGAACTCGGAAGGTTAACCCGAGGGAGGAGAGCCATTGGTGTATTCAGATGGTCTCCTGATAGGCCCAGCCTTACCAAGAAACCAAGTTTCTTGATGCCTTCCCTTCACCACCAACCGAAAAAAAAACAGAGGGGGTGAAGGGGAGTAGACTCATCGAGAAATCAATGAGTACAACACTCCAACAAATCACAGCATACCGAGGGCTCCCTATGGGAACACCTCCGGTAACTGAAGGCTCCTATTTCCCGAAGGTTACTACTCCACAATGCAAAGGGATGAGTTCACTTCTAATAAGTGCCGAGGGCACCTACCATCGGTCACCATTGCTACCGAGGGGTCCTATCCTGTAAAAGGGGATGCAACTGACTAATGCAGCTCAAGAACCCTTCAAATGAATGCCGAGGGCACCTATATCCCACCAACATTCACTACAACATCAATATCCTACAAATTTTCCTAAGTCCACACTTTTGGAAAATGACAACAGCCGGAGGCTCATATATCACCCAACAACCGAAGCCATCTATTACAAATCATCAAGGGCCAACCAAGGGGGCTTATTCCAAAATGATGTCGCCCTCGGGAAATCTTAATTGGGAAATACTACTAGCCGAAGGCTACACAAGGAAGCAACACTTAGAAGATTGAGCCCCCGGCCTGATCAATATTTCAATTGAGGAACCATGATAGCAGAAGGCTACATGATGCAACAACACTTAGAAGATTTTCTAAGTCCTACATATTTTCCCCCCGATCAAACTACTTATACATCAAGGAGAAGGCTATCGCCCCGGAGCCGAGGGCTACTTGACACCATGCATTTGGAAGTAAGGCTAAGTCCTGAATATTTGGCCCTCGTCCAAATATCCACGCAACAGGAAGGTTCACCCAATGATTCGAGAACTCCTATCAGGACCACTCGGGGCTCAACATCTGAGATCCACTTAGAAAATTTTCTAAGTCCTAAATATTCTCCCCACGGACAGACTCCTCACTGACCGAAGGTTCAACATTTACAACACACTTAGAAAATTTTCTAAGTCCTGAATATTTGGCCCCCGGCCCAATATTCACACATCAGGAAGGAGGCTACCAGCCGAGGGCTTCCAAGGGGAAACTACACTTAGAATTTTTCTAAGTCCTAAGGATTGGGTTCTCAGCCTAATCATCACACAGCAATTGAACTACAAACACCCGAAGACCCTATGGTGTGCTACACTTAGAAAAATTTCTAAGTCCCAAAAGATCTTACCCTCGGTGACAAGTTTCCAAGTCCCGAATCTCCCTGCAACCCGAGGGGTCACACGATTGAAGGCTTGGTGAGACTACATTTAGAAAAATTTCCTAAGTCCTAACTATTGTTAGGCCCTCGGTCACACATCTAGCAAAGGGTGCCCAACTAGCGAAGGCTATGACTGTATTCAAACACTTAGAAGAATTCTCTAAGTCCTAAGCACCTCACCTCCGGCCATCGCACGAAGGCTACACGGGACCAGAAAGGAAGATCAGCCGGGGGCCAAGAGATGAACAAACACTTAGAAATATTTCTAAGTCCTGAACATCGTGCCCCCGGTAAAACGTTAAAGTAACTAAAGGTTACTAGTAGCCGAGGGCTACGAGAAGCACCACACTTGGAAGAAAATATTATAAGTCCTAAACATACATTCAAAGAAGGGCGAGGGCATACATTCAGAAGGAAACGACGGCATACATTCGGGAATAAATAAATCGAAAGGAAGCATGTTATATATGAACTCATTCATTCAACGGAGGGAAGTTTAAATGTACAAAAGGGACCGAAGCCAACAATTACAATAGAGTATGATTACAATACAGGGGGAATACATATCAGGAGGGGGGAGCTGTAGAAATTGCCTCACTCTCGGCCTCATCCTCATCACCCCCGAGGCCGCATTCCCGGAGGGTCTCCGAATCTTCAAGAAATGGTCTCTCTTCCCCCTCGGGGAGCGGGATCCTGATGTCTGGCTGATGAGGGGGGAGGCCATAAGCCTCTGGATGGAATTCCTCTGGTGCGATGTGAAAGTGCTTCGCAAGCTTCCGGTAGATAAGGCGTTGGGTGAAGAACTCCCCGCCTTGATAGTACGAGTCGCCCCTCTCAGCAAGCCACATCTTTCCGGGGCCTTCGACCCATTCGTCCACCGAAGCCCCCACCACCGAAGCGAGCCACTCCCTCCGGTCTTCAGCCTTCCATCCCTCGGCAGCGAAGCTGGCCACCGCATCCTCTCGGGCTTTGGAGACGGCCTCTTCTTGAGCTACGCGGGCTTCTTCAGCAGCAACGCGGGCGGCCTCGGCAGTAGCCTCCCCGGCCCTGGCCAGGCCCTCATTCACCCCTTCAGCCCTTGCAGCCTGCAGCCTGCACCCTCTGCTCTAGGCCGTCGGTAGCCAGGCGGATAGAGTCCTCAGCCTCGGCGAGCTTCTTCCTGAGGAGGGCGGCCTCCCCCTCGGCTGCGCCCTTGGCCTCCCTCATTTGATCCACCCTCCGGAGGTGCTCGCAGAGGCCCATAAAGCTCTGCAACTCACAAAGGCGAAGAATAGGGCACGATGAGCACATTACAAAAGAAAAAAGCACAACAACAAACAAAGAAGGGGGGGTGACTTACGGAGGCAACATTCAAAAGGACCTTCGCCTCGAGGGATCCTTCATCCAACCTAGCAAGGGCCAGTCGGTCAGCCGACGGCAGCATCTGGCTCATCAGTGCCGAAGGGTTCAGGCTGCCCTCCAACACGGAAGCTCCCTTCGGCACTAGCGCCTCCAGCTTCTCCCGCCCAAAGAACTCCTGGTTGATTTGTTCCTAGGGGGGTGGGGGCAGAGGCGTGCCCTTCATCAACGATCACCACCACATCGGTGGCCGGCTGTTTGGCAGGGGCAGCAGTCTTCAGCTTCTTTGCCAGGGACTCGGTTCCCTTGCCGGCGTTCTTCTTCTTCACGGGCCCGGCACCCCTGGACCCTCCGGCGCCAGCAGCGGTGCCAGCAGGTTGAGAGGGCCCCTCCCTGGCAGAAGTGCCCGCCGGGGCCTTCTTCTTCCCTTTCACATTCTTCAGAGCGAAGAGAGAACCAACGTCCATATTATTACCTGCAAGCAAAAAAAACACAGGAGGGTTAGACCGAAGGCTATCAATTACTACATCATAAAGGATAGGAAATAAAAAAGAACTATCAACGCATCAGTGAACCCTTCGGTAATCACCTCCAGCTCCTTCGAAGACCCGATCGAGCGGAGGGTATCTTTCATCCGAAGAGCCCCTCGGCCTGAACTGCCGGAAGCCCAGGCTAAGCAATTCCTCAGGGAGGGTGACGTCTCTAATCTTGACGTGCTTGTCAGACCCCTCCGGCTTTTTAGCAAGCACTTTGCCATTCTTCTCCAGAGCTGTGCTCCCCACCTTCGGGTGGCGCCGGAAGCTATTACGGAGCTGGGCCGGGAAGGGGTTCTCCTCGAGCCGAATATAGCAAAATCTCTCCTTCCACCCCTTGTGGGACGAGGGCACGTCGTCAAAAAGCCTGAACTCCGGTACCTGCTGAAGGTTGGCGAAGCCCTCAGCATTTGAATGCCCCCCCCCCCCCGGCAGAGGTTGAAGGACATGAAGAATTGGTCAAGTGTAGGCTCGACCCCCCGGATCTGGCACAAGGAGAGGAAGCCGGCCACGTAGGAGTGGCTGTTGGGCGTTAGCTGGCAGAGGGCCAATCCCACAAACCTCAAATACTCCAGCAAAAAAGGATGAAGCGGAAACCGAAGCCCCATCTCCACCGAGAGGGTGTGAACAGCAAAACACCCTTCGGGCGCATACCGCAACAGATCATCTGCCCTGGGCTCCACCACACGCGCCGAGGGGCTGACCAGCATTTGAGTGGCCTGGTATTCTGCCGGGGACGCTCTCGTCTTCAACTCCAAAGCGGCAGTGTTCAGAAAGGAGTGGCCCTCGGGTATGCCTATCGGCCGCCCGGCGTCAACGACCGCTTGTTTCTTCCTCGGGGCCGCCTTCATCTTCTTTTTCTTCCCGGGAGCCACACTGATGGGCGTCGGGTCCAATGGCCGGGATGAGCTGGCTTCCCCGGTACCACGAGGGGGAAGAATGGCGACCGTCACCTTCATCCTCTCCCTCTCCTCTTCTTGCTCGGCAGTTTGCACGGCGAGGGCGAGCTCTTCGTCCTCGTTTTCTTGCTCGAAGCCCTCGGCTTCGACTTCGGCCTGGAGGTCCTTCTCCACTTCCATGGCCACTGCAGCATCACCACCCACCGAGGACTCCACATCTGAGCATGTCTCCATCTCGACCGAAGGCTCCCCCGAGATATCCTGGGAGTCGCTTTGTGAAGACATCTACTCACTAGCTCGAGGGCTCGGAAGAACTAAGGTTTTCTAGAAAATTCTATCTCCTAGCCTAAGGGCACAAGGCACAGCTAACTAGAAGGAGAAGAGCAGCGGGGAACTGACCTTGAAAACTGAGGATTGATCGAGGGCTGCTGTTTCTCTCTCTAAAAATTTTGGCAGAGCTTCGCTATAAGGATTTCGCACAGGGGGAAGGAAGCCGACCATGGGGTATTTATAGGCGCTGGAATCCGGGCTTGGGCCTGGAAACCGGGCCTCCGGTTGGACTGTCATCATTACACGCCGTGTCTTCTCCCAACCGGTGACGCCGCCCACGGGCAGCCAACCATCACGCGCCACGTGTACTCCCCCCCAACGGCTATATCCTGACGTTACATATTCCAACGGCTATATTTCCAACGGCTATATTCTGGGAGCCCCCGGATTTTCTTACTTCACTCCACTTCATCAAGGAGAGCCTCCGGGTACACTTACCCAAAGACGCCCCCGGGTTGTGCCCACACAGTACATAACAGTCGCCTTCGGGATCACTCCTTCAGAAGCCCAAAGCTTCATATCAAGCCACCCCTCGGGGATTCCCCCTCAGCACTGTAAGGGCCGGGTAGCCCCCGGGGAGTATGCCTCATTGACGGATAGCCTACAGCACACAGGTAATGGGAGCCCTCGGATATCCTCCTCACCAACTAATCAACAAGCAGGGGACACCCCGGTAACAATTCAACTACTGCCCTCATCCATCACGCCCCCGATCCCCAGATCGAGTGGCTCCCCTTCGGCACCTCCCAGGACATCAACAGTAAGCCTCCGGCTACTCAACACATGAGCCCTCAGAACAAGGAGAGCCTTCGGCATTACCATGATTCTCCATTTTTGACGAAGGTTTCACATTTTCGATTCATCGTTGGAGGAATTCGGTGCACTCTTTTTCCCTCATTAGGATTTTCCCCCCCAGGGTTTTTCCTAATGAGGTTTTTAACGAGGCATCCCCCCAAAAATGAAACGAAAAGCGTCAGCCTTCGGCCCACAACAGCAGCGCAACTACTCTACTCCTTTTTACCACTTTACAAGTGCCTCAAGGAGTGGGGGACTGGAGGACCCCCTCGGGAAAATCATTAAATTACAAAATGGTGAAAAATTCCAACAAACGGCAAAGCAATCCCTCAAGTCCCGACATGTGGGTAACTGAGGGACTGCCTTCGGCAGGGACATGAAAGCAACGACTCCTCACCAACTTCAGAGATTACAACGGGACAACATCAAAGGGCAAGCACAAATTACTCCTTTTCCCTCAAGTACCTTTCGGCAAAAGGAGTGAGGGACTCCTGATGGAGTATATGGCCCGGGAACCCCCGGCCCACAGACTCCTGCTACACCAATAAAGGCCCAACCGGCCCAGGAAGCACTTAGCAGCCCACAACGCACAGTGGGGAGCCTTCGGCACCCTGGCCGAAGACTCAAAACTCTCACAGAACAGGTTTTTCAAGCAAACTAAGAAACTGGGAGAAAAACGACAGAAAACAGTAGCCCTCGGCACCTGGAGCCCTCGGCACCCAGGGGGTCCCCGGCACTCAGAGCCCTCGGCTAATCCTCTGCAGCCGAGGGCACCTCTCCCGACATAATATCCGCGCCACATGCGTACAGATCACCGTACCCTGTACAACGTCCCATCCAACAGCCGCATTAAATGCGGCCACATGCGGCTGCCAGCGCCAACCAGTTGAGGTGACCTCTCGGCCAATGGGCGCTTGACACGTGTCCCTATCCGGCATTTATTGCTACTATAAATAGCACCCCATTTCCCCTTTTGTAACCAACTCATAAACGCTGCATACCTTCTGAATACACTTTCTCTCTCTATATTTACTTGCTCTGACCTCTCTCTTGTTATTCCCCGCCATAACCCCCCGGATAAGCTACCCACCGGGTACACTATCCATCAAATTGTGAAACGACACCGTTTTGGGATTGGCACACCATGCAGACGGTGGGCCGATCCCACGGTATAATCTGCGCAAATCTCAGGTGTCCGGTTTTGTTATGTTTTTCTTTTTCTACGGGTATTTGACCCTTGCGATGCACCGTACATAATACTGTATATAAAATTAAACTCGAGAAAATGATTTCGACTTATAAAATTGTCGATGACAAGTATTACAATAGTTTAAAAAGCTTATTCATATTTAATTTATTCGCTCCTTTACTGATTAAAAACTTATTCACTAATGACTACATTGGGGAATTCTTCAAGGCACCATGAAGTAGTTAACTTAGTAATTTCGATAAGGTGAAACGGTAAATTATATAATTTAAAAAGCATTTTAGAACTTTTTATGTACTATTATGAAAACTCTCGATCAAGGATATTTTAATCGGATAGAAAGTTTTTAGTTTTGCATGGTCCGCGCTTTTTAAGTCTTGTCTATATTTTGGTTTTAACCATATACGCCTGATAACGTTTGATGTGTCTGTATTTTACTATTGTCTATGTTTAGTAAGGCCTTGTCGAATTTAGTCTGTTTATATGTAGTCTGACTGACTTAAGGTGATTTGATCCAGTGTGAGACTGATATCGGTCCTGACAATCCAATTAAAAACATTCTAACTCAACAAGTATTAGGCTTTTATTGGTTTTTATTGAGGATGTATACCGATTAAAATTTGCAAAAAAACTTTTATCTAATCCCAACTAACACTCTGTTTTGTAAACTATTTAATTTAAAAAGCATTGAAGCTTTTTATCATTACAATGGAGCATTATCTAAGTAATCTTTATTAACTCTATATTAAGATTTTTTTCAATTCAAGATTGTATATTTTTGTGTGAATAAGAAGCATTCAAGTTTGTATTTCAACTATTTTTCACAATTGAATCATATTTGGATCAGGAAGCCATTTCTCAATGTGATGTGAATTACTCTCACGATGATGTAACTAGTATCTCACTCGTGCGTTGCACGGGATGTAATTTTCAAAATATATATGCGACTGAAGGGGTGTTCATTGGTTGGGTTTCGTTGGATTCAATTTTATCAGTTCGGTTTTGGTCAGTTTCGATTTTTAGTCGGTGAGTTTTGGTCATCTTCGGTTTTTAATCCTATCGGTTGATTTTAGCAACTTTAAGAACAGGTGAAACCGAGAATCGAACAAAAAATGAGCCCTTTCGGTCAATTTGTATCGATTTCTGTAGATTTTAGCTTGTTTTGGTAGGGTTTTGTCAGCCGATTTTGATTTGGCTGATTTCTCAACCCAAAAGTATAAATCATAAACCAAATAGTCAACAAATTAGTCCATTTCGGTCAATTTTGTATTTTGTCGGTCGATTTGTCGGTTGGTTTCAAATTTTTGGTTTTTTGTTCACCTCTATATGTGAGTAGATAGGTTTTTCAATCGAATTAGGAGTCGAACATTGCTCATACCTACATTTTTTTATGGGTTCGGGTCACATGTAATTCAATTTTCCTAGACAAATACAATCCTGTTATTATTTTTTATAGATGATTCATGTATGGTACATGTGGCTCTCACCTCTTTATGACCTATCCATACCAATTGGGATTATATTTAGAAAAATGAACTATTATTTGTATTTATTTATTTTTTATTTATTTATGAACTATTCCGTTAAGGACTCAAAAGATATGTTTACTATCAATTAAATATTCGAAAGGTAAAATATATCAATTTAGAACATAAATTACGTGCAGTTTCCTTACTATCTACTTAGAGTATTATCTACTTAGAGTATGTTTGT